AAAAAAAAGATAATGCTATGATTTTGAGTTTTTTAACAATAAATTTATGATAATTAATTTTTTTTTTCATTTCTTCATTCACAATATAATTACAACTAAAAGAAGCATTAATAAGTAATCAATTTGTTGAACAAAAATGTAAATTCCATGTTCAAAAACTGGTAGAGGCATGAAAAGAATTAAGTCGTGAAAAAATTGATTGATTCTCTTCATAAACGAAATCATCTAGATTATCCTCGATTCTTTGAAAATGTCGATCACGCTTATCATGCTTCTTAATGTAGTTTTAGAGTGTCATTGTTGCAATAACTATTTTCACTTCCTTCGTAAATGAATAATTTAGCATGCCTTTCAAAATTTTTAATTTTTTCTTCCATACACCAAAAGTGTGTTTAATGATATTTCATCCAGACACTAATATTAGTAGAGTTATTAGTAAGCAAACAAAAATTTTAAAACCTTTAAACTAAACCAACTTGGAGTTCAAAGATGCTCAAATAACAAAATATCCGATAAAATAACAAAAAAGGACCAAAAAAGAGGTTTCTACCAAAAAGATCCAGGAATAGCCTCACTTTAACTTCTCTTAAAAGCTTGATCGTCAAATGACCAAGTTACATAAACAAGTTGAGCCTTGATGCATTGTATGTAGTCTTCAACTTCCTAGTTGGTGGCCTGACCTTCTTGTACACCAATGAGAACTTATCTTCGAGTTGTGTAATTGTTTTGTGCTCTCTCTTGCAAAACTTGGTAGGAACAGTTGAAGTCTGATCATTGGTAAAAAGCAAAAAAGTGTAACCTGAAATGAAACCATATTTCTCAAAGCAAAATCCTGTAATATTTTTCTAAAGAAATATGTACCTCTTTGCTATCTTGAGTTAACGTGTCTGAGTTCGTTGTTGTTATGCATATCTGCTTCATGCCCTGTCGGAGCAAACTACAAGCATATCTGCAACATGCAAACAAAATATTCATTACATTTTCTATGCACTGGGGCACCTAAAGAAAGGCAAACAGGAACCAACTTGAAGCAAACTAATAAGGAAATATAATAAAATATACAAAACAACATAAAGACCAAGGCTTTATTTACCCCTTTTTGCAATTTGTCTTCGACAGCAGTAGCACCAACAAGAATTAATTCTCATTACAATTAAAATGAGCATTAGTGAGTAATCAATGTATACAATAAAAATATACAAACATCTCGCAATTATGAAAGGAAAAGACATTGCCATGTTTTAACACCTCCTAAGAAGAAGTTTTCAATTACTTCTCTCAAATCATCCCATGAACCAAGGCCCTAAAGAAGACCATCTCGCAAATACAAACATCACGAAAAGAGACTAAAGTCTCTGTCTGCGTGTGAAGTTATTGATCAACATAACAATTAGAACGATTCAGCAGTTAGTCCTCTGTCTGCGTGTCAAGTCATTATCAACATAACAATTAGAAGGAATTTTTTTACTACCCTTTACAAGATCCCGCCAATAATGAATTTTCACAATAGAACTTTAGAACTTCATCAGTATTTACTAACCAGGTCTTTCAGGATTAAAATTGCTCTGTCGAAGAGCCATTTTTGCTTCAATTGACTTTTTGATCTCCTCGAGGCGAGCAGCAGCCTCCTACCCCAAAAAAAAAAAAAGCCTTCTTGATAATCTACTTTTGCAATGAAGTAAATAAACCATAAATTATAGCAGATGCATCATTTAGGATACACTTAAAATTAAATTTTAAATTTTTTGGGCAAAATAAAATATAGGTCTAGCTGTAATACAGTATTACAGTCATCCACTAATGAAGTTTGGTCCAACTTTATCAGATCAAAAAAGCAAATGAAAAAAAAAATGAAACCTGCACTAGAGCTAGGGCTTAAGATTGCTAATTTCACCAGCTGACCTACATATATCAAAACCCATTCTAGATGAACAATAATTCTATAAACAATCTAAAAAAAAATTACTTCTTTCCCCAGATTCAGAACCCATTAAACAAGAAAACTTTGTCACGAGTCATGACCTAGCTTAAACTTCCAACAATCCCTAGCCAAAATTGAGCACCAATCCAGCGATAAACAGCACAAACACTTTCTAAATCACAAAAAAGATCTACATCCTTTTGGAACAATATGCCTGTGACACATAATTTGTCATGAAGGTAGGTTAAAGGGTTAGGATGAAAGCTGATTCAAGGTAAAGGGTTAACCACCAGTTTTTCTTCACAGAGCAGATGAAAAACAAAGTTTTTCTACACAGTTTTTGGAACAATATGCATGAATGATTCAAATGCTTAAATAACCATATCTATGAACTATAATCCAAGTATGTGAATACCCATAAAATAGAGTAAGAATCCGGTCCAAACAAAGGGTTTACATAGCAGAGAAAGAAAAATTTTTCACAAAATCCATCGACCAAATTTTTCACAAAAAATCAGAACCCTAAAACCTAAAATAGATGCGGACAAAAAATCAGAAGCAAATCCAGAGCCGCACTAAAAAATTGAGTAGTTACAGAGGCTTACCTCTTGATCTGATGGGAGGAGAATGGGCAGTCGGAGGAGGAGATGAGAGACCGGCAAACCGACAATCGCACGGAAGAGAAACCAAACGAGCACAGACCAGCGAACGGAGAGAGAAACCGGCAAATCGACAATCGCACAGAGGAGAAACCAAACGAGCACAGACAAGCGAACGGAGAGAGAGACCGACGAAGAGAGAGATCGGACGAGAGGAGAAGAGGAGAAGAGATAGATCGGACGAGAGAGATTGGACGAGAAGAGTTTCAAGAGAGCTCAAACTACAGTGAAAGATATCTAGCTCAAAACAAGTGTTAATACGTGGTAAATTTGAGATTTCATTAAGGGTAAAATGGGGAATAAAAAAATTTCATTAAACTCACAAGGGATTCCCGCATAAGCTAAAAAGGAGAATCAACCTTTAGGCTGATTCTGCTTTTTTAACTTCAGATTCAGATAAAATTGTTCAAAAATTTATTACTTTAAATTTTACCGAACAGCTTTTAGAATTTTTATTATTTCAATAAGTGCTTTTTCTCTCCTAAAATCAATACTAAACACAACCATTGTTTGTAGATTTGGTGAAGAAGAAAATCTGATCTCAATTGTTTGTTTTTCTTTTTGCAGACGATCTGAGTGTCTTTTTAAATTGAATTTCTTCATATGTAGCTTTTAGAAATTTTCGTTTACAATTAATTAATGAAGAGGGTAATTTTGACATTTCAGCTCTAAAAAAAAAGGAAGTTAGTGTAAAAAAAAGATTTTTTAAAACGTTTAGGTACTTGTATAAAATTATTGAAAACACAAGATACTAAATTCGTATTTTGATATAACACAAGATATTAAAAATAAAATTTTCTCTTAAGATTCATTTAGTTTGTTAATTTGAGTTGTGATGTAATTTTATGTGAGAATTTTTTACTATAATAAAAAATTAGATGTGACTGTTTCTAATAATTTTTTATTATAACAAAATTTAAATTCGAAACTTAAATCAATTAAATGAACGAGACCTTATTTTTAAAACTACAAAATCAAAATTAAATAATAAGCTATATAAATGATATTTTAAAAACAAAAACACTTTAACTTTGAGAGTGTAATTTTCTAAAAATATGTATTTAAATTATTTAATTTTTAAAAAAATTGTTGAATTTGCTCTTAAAAATGTATAGTTTAAGGTCCCGTTCATTTCACCGATTCAAGTTTAGAATTCGAGTTTTACTATAGTAAAAAACTCTCAGAAATAATCACATCTAACTTTTTTACTACAGTAAAAAGCTCTCACATAAAGTCACATCTCAACTCGAATTAAAAACTCGAATCAGCGAACTAAATGGGCCCTAAATTTTTATCTTAAAATTTTAATTAATATTATTTTATTAAAAAAATATTAATTAAGAGTAAATAATAAAAGTTTATTTGTCAAGCTTTTTCAATATAAAAAGTGAAAATAGTAGAAAATAGACCAATATGAAAAGCTTAAGAAAGTATATAGGCCAATTTTTAGTTATAGAAATTAATAGGCCATAACTTTTCAAGTTATGGTTCATAACCAGATAAGTTATGGATAAACTTGTCAAGTTATGGTTCATAGCCAGACAAGTTATAGACAAAAATCGTGAATTATAGACAATAACTTGTCAAGTTGTGGTTCATAACCAGACAAGTTATAAACAAAAATAGTAATTTAACCTATTTATTAACTTATGTAAACTATTAATCTATTAATTTTAATTCATCTGAAGTCTTTGACTTATTTTCCTCTTTCTCCCTATAAAAAGGTCTCGATGCATATATAGGGCGGCTCCAAGGCCCATTGAGAAATGACATCAGAGGTCCATGTTACTTAGTTGCCGTTCGGCCCAAAAAATAAAACGTCTTCATTCCTCTTTTTACTTCCTTTTCTCCGCCCTATCCACATCAACATGTCACAGTAAAGTCAGCAATACTCCCTCACTCATGTCATTAGTCTTTGCGTCTAAGCACAGCGCCAATTTTTAGTTATAGAAATTAATAGGCCATAACTTTTCAAGTTATGGTTCATAACCAGATAAGTTATGGATAAACTTGTCAAGTTATGGTTCATAGCCAGACAAGTTATAGACAAAAATCGTGAATTATAGACAATAACTTGTCAAGTTGTGGTTCATAACCAGACAAGTTATAAACAAAAATAGTAATTTAACCTATTTATTAACTTATGTAAACTATTAATCTATTAATTTTAATTCATCTGAAGTCTTTGACTTATTTTCCTCTTTCTCCCTATAAAAAGGTCTCGATGCATATATAGGGCGGCTCCAAGGCCCATTGAGAAATGACATCAGAGGTCCATGTTACTTAGTTGCCGTTCGGCCCAAAAAATAAAACGTCTTCATTCCTCTTTTTACTTCCTTTTCTCCGCCCTATCCACATCAACATGTCACAGTAAAGTCAGCAATACTCCCTCACTCATGTCATTAGTCTTTGCGTCTAAGCACAGCTTATATTAGTCATCATATGATATCTTCTCCATCTTGCCAATGTCGAATATCTATAATTAATGGCTTCGTTTACCAAACCGACCAAAACCCACCTCCCAATCCGTCCTTCTCTTCCCGCTCTCGCGTCGCGTGTAACCAACGCGCTCTCTCCTCAAATCTCGTAGGAAGAATAACCAAAGGAAGAGCCAGCTGCTCATATTCATTCGACCGGTCCTCTCGAGGACTCCGTTGTTTGTTTGTTTTTTTTGTTTTTTGTTTTTTGTTTTTTGTTTTTTTCAGAGATGGGTTGCGTATACTTGGGTTGGTTGTCGTTTGCTGTCCTGGTTGTCGTTTTCGAGATGTTCGAAGTCAATGTGGTGGGCGTGTGCATAGCCCTGGAGAGTGGGTCGGAGAAGAAGTACGTGTCGGCGATCGGAGACCCGGGAATGAGGAGCTCCGATGTGAGAGTTGGTTTGGAAGCTTGGAATTTCTGCAATGAAGTTGGAGTTGAAGCGCCCAACATGGGAAGTCCTCGGTTGGCTGATTGTGCTGATCTGCATTGCCCTTCTTTCCCCTCTGCAGGTACGTGCTTCTCTTTAAGAACCATCAAAACAACGACGACAGAATTGCGAATTATAATTATTAAGAGAAAAAAAAAGATTTGAGTTTTAGGAACTAGGCAATTAGAGCATCTCCCATACGATGCCAAATTAGATTGTCAGTGCCAAATTTTAGTATTTGAGCAGAAAAGTCACTTGCTAAATTTGGCATATACTTAGTGTCATTTGGTATAGCATATGTCAAATTTTGGTACTTAATTGCTATTGGTTGAAGTATTTAGGTCTTCACATAATTATTGCAACATTGTTATTTTCTAATTATCTTATAATTAAAAGCTTACTTTTTTTTTTTTTTTTAAGATTATAAAGGTTATAATTATAACAAAAAGTAGATATAGCATATGAACATTATACATGAGAGCAAAAAATAGAATGGCATATCAACTATGATTTTTTTTTTTTTCACATTTTTTAGTGCCAAATATAGCATTCACATTAGTATTGTATTGGAGATGGTTTTATGATAGGGAGTGAACCCATGTGGCTTGTGAAGTGGTAAAGGATTTTGCTAATTTATTTGTTTGGGTTGAGGAGAATTGGATTGAAGAGATTAGGAAGCAGATTGTTATCTTTGAATCTGGTTGCAATTCACTTGATGATCCTAGACTGTAGTGGCCTGGTTAGTTAATTTGCTTATTAGGAAAAAAAAGGGAATAAAATTTCAATTTTATCTGCAACAGAATTCTTAAGCACTTGTCACTACATTCACACACTTCTTTTATTGTTATCATTTTTTTAGTTGAGCAAGATAATGACATGAGACCTTCACATTGGTGTTCTTTTCAATTGAAATTGAATAAAATGTGGATTTTGTTTTCGAGAGCGCGCACGCCAAAAAAAAAAAAAAAAGATTGCTTGCTGTTTCGTTGGGGCTTGTTGTCCATATGCAGTACTCTGTTTTCTCAGCTTCTTAGATCATAGAAGACATATTTTATAGCTTATGGAATGTTTTCAGTGTGACACATATTCTTACTGCGTTATTCGCCTACGTTATGTGGGGACAAGCATCTTCTTCTACACATTGTACTGTTTGGTACACGTTATTACAAAATGAACCTTACTTAATCCTCTATGTTCATATAGTCTTAGATTACCAATCAAGTACCTAAATTATGATAAAGTTAGCCTTCTCTGCACTCGTCAGTGTCTTATGTTTCCTGCCCTTTATGTCTCAACTACCAGTTCTTTTGGACAACACCATTCAGAAGAAAAGAAGCAGATGTAATGTGCGTCAAAGAGTAAAAGAATCAGACAATGTCTTAGGAGCTGGTGATGAGTTTCCTATATTGGATTTCAAACCATACACCGACCCTGACATGTACGCCGTGGAAAAGGAGCTGTATCTTGGTTCTCTGTGTGAGGAACCTGACTCCCAAGATCCATGGCAGTTTTGGATGATTATGCTTAAAAATGGGAACTTTGACAAGAACACTACACTTTGCCCCGAAAACGGTAAAAAAGTCGGCAAAATTGTGACTGACAGAAATTTTCCATGCTTTGGAAAGGGGTGTATGAATCAGCCGCTTATCTTTCATAATTACTCGAGATTGCTTTCTTCTGGGGACCAAGCAGTTTCCTTGACTGGAGGATTTTATGGAACTTATGAGCTAGATGCCGACTTAAGCGAAGGTGTGAGGAAGAATTCATACTTCTCGGTCTCATGGCAAAAGAACTTGAGCACAGGAAGTTGGATTTTCTCGCACAAATTGACGACGTCTCAAAAGTATCCTTGGCTTATGTTGTACCTGCGTTCAGATGCAACTGAAGGATTTAATGGTGGTTACCATTATAGTGGTCGTGGCATCATGAAAAAGGTTGGCTTTTTCTCATTGATTCTTTCTTTCTGGTACTTAAAAAAAAATTTTACCCCCCAATCATATGTTTTATGTTGAATCAAGTTATCGAACAATATCTTGTTTAACTGAGTCTTTTTAAGACTGATAATGGTTCCTTTCATGCATTCATATGCTTTTTCAGTTGCCAGTGTCTCCGAATTTCAAAGTAAGATTGACACTTGACGTCAAACGCGGAGGAGGGTCCAACAGTCAATTCTATCTACTTGACATAGGAAGCTGTTGGAAGAACAATGGAAAGCCTTGTGATGGGGATGTCATCACGGATGTGACCAGATACAGTGAAATGATAATAAACCCAGCAACCACAAGCTGGTGCCGGGCAGATAACCTAGTCTCTTGCCCTCCTTACCATGTGACTGTGAGTGGGGAGATAATATACAGAAATGATACATCTCGGTTTCCATATTCTGCTTTTCATCTCTACTGCAGCCCTGGGAATGCTGAGTTGTTGGGAAAACCATATGATATCTGTGACCCATATAGCAATCCACAAGCCCAGGAACTGGTGCAGATTCTTCCACACCCTGAATGGGCTGTCCATGGCTATCCCGAGAAGAAAGGAGATGGATGGATTGGAGATTCCAGGACTTGGGAGCTTGACGTCGGAGGCCTTTCTAGTCGGTTGTATTTCTACCAGGTATATACATGTCATGCCATCATGGTCATATATTTCCTGAAAGCTGCATTAATAATTTTCATGAGGACCTTTGCCGGTCATTACTGACGGTAAGATCATATCACAACACATGTGACAACACGCCAATACTACTATAACAAGAGAAATAGCATGGTGTTTCATCAATTGGTGTTTTCACAATACATTTTTTCTTGTTTGTTCTCTTTTTGTTTTTTGTTTGTCTCCCTTGTATTGATTTGGCGCACTGTGATATGAACTATGGCATTGGATAGGACCCAGGAACAGAACCGGCAAGGCGAGTATGGACGTCATTAAATGTTGGAACAGAAATCTATGTCAGTAGCAGGGGAGAGACAGCAGAATGGACCGTGAGTGATTTTGATGTACTTGTTCCTGAAGACATTGATGATCATCGATCTTGCGTTGGTTAGTTCTTGTTTTTCCTAGACATGAGTTCACGTTTCTCTTGGTGAATTAAATTATTTCCTCGAAGTGTAAATAAAAATAAATGAGAAGAGTGTGAAGAGTAAAATATCCCAGTATCACATCATCTAAATAAAAATAGGGAGAAAGAGGAAAATAGGCAAAGACTTGAGATGAATTAAAATTAATAGGCCAATAGTTTACATAAGTTAATAAATAGGCCAAATTACTGTTTTTGTCCATAACTTGTCTGGTTATGAATCATAACTTGACAAGTTATTGTCCATAAATCATGGTTTTTGTTCATAATTTGTCTGGCTATGAACCATAACTTGACAAGTTTGTCTATAACTTATCTGGTTATGAACCATAACTTGACAAGTTATGGCCTATTAATTTCTATAACTAAAAGTTGGCTTATATACTTCCTTAAGCTTTTCATATTGGCCTATTTTCTACTATTTCCGATAAAAAATATAATTACTAGCATATAAAGATATTGGGTCACTCTACATAATAGGCTAACCTTTTAAGGTGGAAATCCAACCTCTTATAAAGTTGAATTATCTCCCTCAATTTTCTTCATATCATAAGTGGTTGTTTTAGTTGGAAAAACATAGGGCTTGTTCTTTTGCAAGTATTTTTGAGTTAAGTTTTTGAGTTGAATTTGAGTTGAATTTGAGTTATAACTTGAGTTTAAGTTGTAACTTGAGTTTAAGTTGTAACTTGAGTTTGCGTTTGGTTGTGTATACTTGAGTTATGGTTTGAGTTAAGAATTTTTTGAGTTTGTGTTTGTTTGTGATAAAACTTGAGTTGTGAATAGTGAATATCATTTTTTCTCCTCCTACAATTTTATTCAATTCTTTTACAATTTTTTTATTTTTCCGCCTTTATTATGTTTTATTGTAATAAATTACTTGTAATTACAAAAATAAAAAAATAATAAAAATAACAAGTACAAGCTCAGTTTTCATTTTAATTAAGTTCAAAAAGACAGCAAAAAATACATATTTAAGTTTAAAAAGACAACAATGAACGAGGGCATTAGCGTGCACGACGGTGCCGGTACACTGCCCACATTGTATGCGCCCTTGCATCCCTTAAAGCATTCATGTCAACTTCTGCATTAGAATCCAATGGTTGACCCTCATGGTTAGTATTGTCGTTAATGTCCTCATCAACATTCGGTGGATCAATGTCTGCAACCGGAACGCCATCTTGTGAGTATTGGTCCAATAGCCTGTCCCCATTACGGTACATGTGGATAAAATTATGTATTATAGCACACGCTACTGGAATCATAACTTGTTTGGTCATGGGGTAACGATTAATGGTTCTCAAAATACGAAATCTAGCCTTCCACACACCAAATGTTCTTTCAATGACATTACGCAACGAAGAGTGGGTGTAGTTGAAAAGCTCACGTTCACTGTGGAATCCTCTTTCACGGCGAGCCCTATACTCTTGCAAGTGGTACGTTGTCCCCCGATATGGTGCCATGAAGCATCCGTTGTTAGCGTACCCTGAGTCGACGAGGTAAAATTTTCCTACACTTGTTCGTACATTAATTAATAAATAAGCGTACGGATGAAGTATTTGAAAATGTCAGTGTACATATAAGAAATCATTGTAGGCTGACCTGGTGGCGGTGTCGGGAATCTTTTGCGTGCGGATTCTAAAGCAGCAGCTAATACTCGCGCATCGTGTGCGGAACCCTCCCATCCAGATAACATGTACGTAAATTTCATATCAAAAGTGCACACGGCAAGCACATTAAGTGAAAAAAACCCCTTCCTATTTCTGTAAAGTTCAGCAGTTTCACGAGGGGGAACACATGGGATGTGAGTACCATCAAGTGCTCCAACACAATCCTTCATAGTTTACAAATGTTATGTTGGTTATATTGAAGTCGTAATAATTATTATAAACCAGTAAATAATATACATTACCGAACATACATCGAACCACGGCGAGTATTTGTTTCCACTTGCAATGATGTGCGGGTCAACGGTTTGGAAATCTGGATGTAAAATGAAGTCCTGCTTCAGTTTGCATACCGCCACAAGAACTTTGGTGAAGTACTCAGACACCGTCGATCCAGATCGTTGCCAAGTGTCCTGTGCCTCCCTGTTAGTTTGGTTCTGACATAATATAGTTAGGAATATAAATAATTGCTCATCAACATTTAGGTGGACAGTTGGTTGCAGTAAGCTCCTTTCCTCAAGGATAAAACTTAGTCGCAAGAACGCATCACTACTCATACGGACTTTGTCATACATCACTGTTGGACTACGTTCCAAATAATACTGCACCCTAAGTGCACCGCCCCAACCAGAAGTGTGCCTTCGGCGAGAAGGTTCTCTGTATATAAATCCAACACATAGCGTAGTCGCCGCAGCGACAAC